TCACTGAACACTGCCCTCTCTCAGGCCCCCACCCCCGGGGGAGGCTGAGCACCTTCCTGAAAAATATTTTTGGGGAAGGCTGACGCCCCGCTGCCCCCACAAACTTTACACCTATGAGCTGCCCCATTTTGGCTCAGAAACCCCTAGCATTGGCATATAGACACCTGTAACACATTTCCCTCTCCAACAACCCTCACCTCACTGTTTGCCTTTTTCTCCTCACATTGCCCTTCTTCACCATCCTACAATCACACCCAGGTTCTATTGTGCTCCTATCATTATTATCCAGAGTTTTTACACTATCATCCCTTTGGACTGAGTTGTCCTGAACTGGAGGCTCCCCAGCTCCAGTTGGCTTTCCTCCTGGGATTAGTTTCAGAGCTGCTTTGCCACCTTTTTGATATTAATCACCACCCTTTTGGTTCAAGGGAAACCCATCTCTTTTGTACGGGTTCACCTTATCCCAGAAAGTTCCCCCAGCACTTAACAAACCTAAACCCTTCCTTCCAGCACCACTTTCTCATCCACATGTGTTGACCCCTGGTCTGTATCTGTTGAGTTGGCCCCGCATGTGTCTTGAATAATGTGTCAACCTCTACAATTCTGAGAATGTTACCTTTGAAATCCTGCTCAGGGTGTGTACATTCATCCCACTTTCCCCTCTGCTAAAAAGGTTGCTAAATCCTTCCACCAACTGGCAAAACCTGCTTGACCAAGAGGAGACCGTAGAATGTGGAGCCAGAGTTATGGCGAGCAACAAGTCTCTCGATCCTCTTTCAAATGACTTTAGAATGATTGTCTTCCTGAAGGCTGGTGATTGTAATACACAACACCTTCACTCCACAGACTTCTTCAATCAGCCAACTGCAGACTTACCATAGCAGAGCAAATACACAAGTCTCAGTTTCCCCCACAACAATTAATGGAAGACTAGGGTTGCAAAATTACATTGTGCATACAAAGATGACCCCATTTTTTAAATTTGGTTTTTTAACGGTGGCAAAGATACTGCTACAGAAAAAAGTGTTTCAACAGCTTAAACACCTACACAATTTAACAGATACTGTGAGAGCAACTTGCTGTATTAAATTAGAGGACACCAACAAAATGTAAGTTTACCAGCAGCTTCCATTCTAGTGGTTCAACAGCAAACTTAAAGGCCCAACTCTAAAATCCATGATAAATTATAGGGGTAGAAACATATGTTTTGGCATTAGTGAATGCTGCCCATGGTCACTTGTGTGATGCACACTTTGGATTACTGCAAAATTAGGAAGCTGCTGTATGAGATTCCATAAAAACTAAGAGACTATTCCTTTTAAATCCGAGCATAAGAAAAAAAATATCATGTCTGAGAAGGTTCCAAGGGAGGATCCATATATTTCACGGATGACACCTCTGCTAGAGATGCTGCAAAACTCACCCAACCTGAGATCTTATTAACAGTGCAATCCTAACCTGAGTTACACCCTTCTAAATCCGCTTAAATCAGTAGGTTAAGAGAAGTTTAACTGTATTTAGGATTTTACCATAAATTACTTGGCATAGACAGAATTATTGGGCCTATTTTGTTCAAAAGTGCTTCTGAAGAATGCCCTCACACACACATATTCTTTGACAAGTTGCAAGTGCAAAAGCAACCACAAGCCCTGAAGCTGCTTCATGCCGAATCAGACCCTTGGTCCATCAAGGTCAGTACTATCTACTCAGACTGGCAACAGCTCTCCAGGGTCTCAGGCAGAGGTCTTTCACATCACCTACTGCCTGGTCCTCCACAGGACAGGAAAAACAGACCATGCTAGAAGTTCTGCACAGTTCATGACCCCAGATGGAAATACAAGTAAACACTCTTCTCAGGACAAAATACAAAAATATATGAGCATCCCAAATATATATTCAGGATCTCTAAGAACATCAGAAGAGCACTGCTTGATCAGACTAGTGGTCCATCTAGTCCAGCATCCTGTCTCACACAGTGGCCAACCCATTCCTCTGGAGGTCCAACAATAGGGCATACAGGCTGAGGCCTTCCCCTGATATTGCCTCCTGGCTCTGGGATTCAGAGATTTAGTGCCTCTGAATGTGGAGGTTCCCTATAGCCACTGTGGCTAGTAGCCACTGATAGATCCATGAATCTATCTAATCCCCCTTTAAAGCTGTTTATTCCTGTGGCCAATACTACATCCTCTGGCAGAGAATTCCACATTTTAACCACATTTTAACCTTGCTAACAAGGTTAGAGCTATTTTCATTGCTAGTCACTACAGTTATCTTAAGCTTACATATATGCTAATTCATGATGTGCCAATTTGCCTCTCCCTGACAAATACTTAAGCCACATAATAGGAAGAGGCTCGATTTACAATAGGTAACCCATTATTGAAATGTCAAACAAAAAGGTAATAGCTCCATCTGTTACTTGACAAATACACACAATGGGAACCCACACCTACAAGAACACTGAAAAATACCCCAAGGAAGCAGATAAGGGTTCTCAAGCTCCCAGTATTGGCGTAGAGGGAGGGTAGAAACATATTTTTTTTTACCAGAAACGTCTGTCAAGCATGGATCAAGAGAGGAAACATAGATCAGCCTCCCCCTTGTATTAAGATCCAAAATTGGATCACCAACAGCTGGAAAAGGGCCACAGAAACAGATGTTGCACTCTAATGGACTAGAAACATACCACAGACTATCAAGTGAACAGAGAGAAGGCCCTCTCTAGAAAGTACACGTAGAGTTACCCTCGGATATTCTCATGTGTCATCACAGTCCTCCCTTTCGGTGGGGGAGAGGAAGTATATTTCAGTCTGTGCACACATTTATATCTGTACATCACATGACACACCCTTCAGAATAAACCTTACCTGCGTGCACATAAAAACCCATGCCCTGAATAAACCTTTGTTGATCTTAAAGGTGCCACTGGACTCTAAATTTGTTCTTACAGAATTAGCTGTGGTGCTACTGTTTAGTAGCAAAGTTGACAATGTAATTTGCAGCATTTATATAGTATCTAAGTGAAGAAAAAGACACCTAGCTTGGGAGTACTTTCCTTTATTATTTAGTTATTTAAAATATGTATTATCTCCTACCTGATTAGCTTGGACTCAAGGTACCTAAAAAAGCGATAACAAGTTGCTAACATACAAAACAGATCACCACACTCCAGGACCTATTTAGATGGCCTCTCCAGAGTTACTGCCGAAACACTCATGGCAGACAATACACCTAAGAAGCCTTTTTTTTTTTAAAGTCCTTTATCCCAATGAAATTGAAAATTTGTGGTTGGAAGGGGGTAAAAAGATGATATCTAAAATGTATAAGGTATTGCTAAAATGGTATACAGAGGATGAAACATTTAAGGAGCAAATGATAAAATGGGCAGTTAATATGAATAAGGAAATATATATGTCACCTTGGGAATTTTTATGGGAAAATGCAATGAAAATTTCAACATGTATTAATGTAAAAGAAAATTGATATAAGATGATGTATAGATGGTATATGACACCAAAAAGATAGCAAATATAAGTAGTAATATGTCAAACAAATGTTGGAAATGTAAAAGAATAGAGGGTTCTTTTTACCATATGTGGTGGACTTGTGAAAAAGCAAAAAATAGAGATAGAGAAAATTATGAAATGTAAAATTAAGAAGGAACCTGAAATGCTACTTCTGGGACTTAAAATGGAAGAAGTCAACATTGCAAAACGGACTTTAATGTGGTATATGATTACAACGGCTAGAATGACATATGCTCAATGCTGGAAACAAGAAAGAACTTCTGAGATTTGGGAGTGGTTAAAAAAGTTACTCTTTATGGTGGAAATGGACAAAATGACAAGAAAGCTTAAGAACCAGGAAGCAGAAGAATTCTTTGCATATTGGAAAGATTTTAAAGAATATTTAGAGAAATATTGGGATGTGAAAAATAATCTATTTTGGTTTGATAACTACTGAAGACAGAAAGATACTTAGAGTAAGTTAAAAGATAGGTTGCCTGAAGAATTTTAATATTGGAAAATGGAAAAAAGAGAAAAAATATAAGATTTGGACTGGAGGTTGGAGCACTGCGGGAAGTCAGAAAGGGGGGGATACTAGGAGAAAAGGGTATAAGACAATTTGTAAGATGATGTATGGTTTGACTTATTGTTATATCCTAATAAAAATGGGTTTTTTAATAAAAAAAGTCCTTTATCCCAAACACTACATGAGCACATGAAAAGTATGCACCAATCCCTGCCAATACTTTGCTAGCTATTACACGTGCCTTGTCCTGTTCAGTACCCAAACAACACACCCTCCACGTGGTTTCTCCACCATAAGAGGTGGGTCAGCTAGTCAACCATCCTGTCTCTTAACAGTGGCCTCAACTAGGCCACCATCCTGTTTCTTTTGTTTGTTGGAGGGCCAACAAACGGAGCAAAGAGGCCACAGTTCTCCCTAATGCCATCACCTAGCACTGGTATTCAGAGGTTTACTGCCTCTGACTGTGGGGATTTCCATTTAGTCACCCCGGCTAGTAGGCAGGGATGGACCTCTCCCCTCCACCTCCAGTTCCCTTTTAAAGTCATCTATGCTCACTGTCATCATCACTACAAACACTGACAATAAATCCTACAATTTAATGACTCCGAGAGAGGACAGGCAGTCCTGTTATTCAATTCAGTCCTCAGACCTGGCATTGACAAGGAGTTCAGGGAACTGAGCCCTGGTCGAAATTAAACCCCGACCCTGGGAAGAAACCCCAAATTAGATTACCTTTGCAGCCCTACAAGGGAAACAGACTGATAAAGTCTCTCACATTCCCGCATACTGACCTCAGTCCGGACAGCGGCACATACCTGCTGGCACACAGAAGGTCCCTGTTTCAATCTCTGGCCGCAGGGCCACCTGTACGGCCTTCGGGCCATGGCAGGTCAGAGAAGAGACAAGACAGGGGCCAAACACCTGATGGCTCGACTCAGGGTCAGGCGGCCCTGCAAGCATCTCCTTACCTTGCTCACGACATTCTGCTCCAGGCCCGCCGTGATCAAATAATGCCGCTCACTGCACTGGCACTGACTGGTGTTCTTCGCCTCCGGCGTGGGCAGCTCGGGGGCGGCCAGCATCCCTCGGCTGTAGTTGTGGCTGGCCGAGAGCCCGCTGGCGGGCAGGTGAGGGTGGCCCGTCCAGTTCCCTCGCCCGTCCGTGCCCTTGCACCAGTAGGTCGGCTGGTCCAAGAGGAAGCTGTCCGAGAACTGGCTGAAGCCGATGAAGAGCGCCGGGATCCAGGTGAGGAGGACGAGGGTTCTCTGGTGCCCGCCGCCCAGCCCGCCCAGGAGAGGCAGCACGGAGCCGTCGTAGTCCAAGAGGAGGGGGCTGCAGGACCCGGCGGGAGGAGGCGGCGGCGGCAGCGGAGGAGGAGGCAGGCTCTGGATCTCCGCCGCCACCCCCCCCGCCGGGGGTGCGGCTGTAGCCGCAGCGGCAGGGACCGCCTCCCCGGGCGGCAGGGAGCCATTCTCTTCGGGCAGTTGCCGGCCTTCGCCACCCTCCTCTTGACGCCGGTCTATCGCCATCCGGCAGCAGCAGGAGGAGGAGGAGGAGGTGGTGGAGGAGGAGGCGGCGGCAGCAGCAGCAGCCGGAGGGAGTCACATAAAGGGGGCGGCGGGGCGCAGCGCGTAACTGGCGGCGGTCCCCGGCGTCGCGCCAGCCGAGGCTTTCCAAGCCGGTCGGGAGGCGCGGAGGAGGCGGCGGCGGGGTGCCCTGCGGGAGCCTCCGCCGACACACACATAGGTGTGCGCGTCGATCTAGGGCGACCTCTCTCTCGCTCGCTCGCTCGCTCTCTCTCGCGGAGCCGCGGCTCTCCTGCCCGCGCCTAGCCGCACATCAAGGCGCGCCCATTTTGCTTCGCCGCCGCCGCCCCCAGCCCCAGCCCTCCTCCTCCTCCTTCCCCTCCGCGGCAGAAAAGCAGAGCCCTCCTCCGCGCGTCTCCTCTTCGCTGCGGCAAGCTGGGCCGCCCGGACCGAGACGCCGCCGGGAGGCGACCGGAGTCCAAAGGTCCCTTCCCAGTCACTGGGGAGCCGGGGCGCGCAGAGGCGATTCCCAGCACCGGCCCCTCGAGATCCCTCGCCCAGCCCGATCGCCGCACATCGGGCTCGGCCAGGGGACGATCCCCCCTTCCCGGAAAGCGGAGAGGCTGTCGGCGCGTCTAGAAGAGCCGCATCCGCTGTGCCCGGCCGAAGCCGGATCCAGTGCGCGGCGGCGGCGGCGGCGGCGGCGGCGGCGGCGGCGGCGCTTTCCCCTCGCGGCTGCCTTTCCCCCCTTCTGGCTTGCGGCGGCAGAGCGCCTTGGCTCTCGGAAAGGAAGAGGCTTTGCCGCGCCTCCCTCGCCTGCCCCTCCGCCTCCCCGAAGCCGCCGCCTGTTCTCAACCTGCAAGCCCCGCCCTCCGCCCCAGCGCCCGCCTCCGTCTCCTCCTGTCCGAGAGGTAAAGGTAAAAGCGGCGGGCGCCGCAGCACCTGCTCCTCCTCCTCCTCCTCCTCTCCAATGGAGGCAGCCAGTCACCCGGCTCCCCCTGCAGGGGAGCGAAGGAACGCCTCCGCCCCGCAGCGGAGCCGGCGGAGGAGGAAGTCCCACCGGGAGAGGCTGCCGGCTCCCGGGAACCAAGGGCCTCCCGGGGAGGGGGGGCAGCGAGTAGAAACTCATCACAACCCGCTGACATCGGGGGTTGGGTTTGCAAACAAACGTCTCGCTGCCTCCACCCCCAAATAAGAACCCGGGTCGCGACCAGCAAGACTTGCACACGTATCTTAAAAGAAAGCCCCTCTGAGTTCAGCGGGACTTACTCTGCGGTACGGATGCAGCGCCCGCCCGCGCACCCCCCCCCCCAAGGCTGTAGGATTTCACCTTTCATATCCAAGGTCACCTCTGCATTACAGGGGTCCAGACCTATCCTAAGTGTCTTTGCAAAAAAAGTAAGTCCCAGTGCGTTCAGTAGGGCTTTTGTTGTTGTTCAGTCGCACAGTCGAGTCCGACTCTTCGCGACCCCATGGACTGGCAAAAGTGCAGCCTGAAACCTTATGAAACGGGAGGGGGCGGGGAACAGCCATGATTTTAGAAAAGGTATTGTCCCTTCCGGGAAGGGAATGCCTCTTCCAAAATGGTGCCAACTGTGGCAGGTGTATACATAATCTTTTTTAAAAATATGATTTTATTCCTGTGCACATTTATATACCTTTGTATTCACATGCAAATATATACATATTTAATTGGTGCATTAAAATCATTATGTTGATTTGTTAATACTTATTTGATTTGTTAATACTTATTTAATAGTGCACTGCAGCCGCCCTAATAGATAGCTTTTGCTGGAATCATTAGAGTTTGGGTTTGTTTTATGAAATTCACATATGAAACTGGGTACTTTTCTCCCCCAGCCCCAACCAATAGCCACTCTAGCGGGAAATTCAAACCCTCCAGTGGACTAAGGCTGTGCTGGGTGGGTGTGTATATAGTTGGCCTTGCAGGGCCGTTTTAGTTAGTCTTGTGTTAAGTACAATAAACTTGTGCAAGAGCATGTCGTCTCTGATATACAGGTTTTGCAGGTTTTGGTGGGGTAGGGTTTCAAAAACCTGCAAAACTTGTTTGACCAGAGATAATAGAAAAAAGAAATCATTGTATATACAAAGGGTAAAGATAGCTGCAGTCCTGTGAAGACTTTCTAGGAGTTCGCTCCATTGACTAAAATGGGACTTACTTCAAGTAGACCCATTTAGGATTCCCTTATTTAGATATTTATGCCCCTTTCCCCCTCCAATAGGAACCCAAAGCAACTTACTGTATTGTTATGTACGTGGACTGCCACTAGGGGTCCGCGGCAAAGACTGGAGCTTGGCTCCCCTGGACAATAGGAACATAGGATCCTAGTTCCCCCAGCCCCAACCAATAGCCACTCTGGCGGGAAATTCAAACCCTCCAATGGAGTAAGGCTGTGCTGGGTGGGTGTGTATATAGTTGGCCTTGCAGGGCCGTTTTAGTTAGTCTTGTGTTAAGTACAATAAATGTGTGCAAGAGCATGTCATCGTCCGAGTCCTCCATTCGGCGAACCCAGTACTTTTCATGCATAATTATCCTTTCCATCCATTTTATCCTCACAACTCTGTTAGGTGGGTTGGAATGAGAGAGAAGGACTGACACAAGATCACCCTGTGAACTTCCATGGAAGAGTGAGGATTCAAACCTGGGTCTCACAGATCCTGTTTACAAAGCATTGGTAGTGCCAACATTGTGTGACCTGGCCCCACTGCTGGACCTCCTGATGGTACCTGATATTTTTGGCCACTGTGGGACTGAGTGTTGGACTGGATGGGCCATTGGCCTCATCCAGCATTGGCTTCTCTTACATTCTTATTGCCAGTGATCCCAGCAAGATGCCAGTGGGTGCCATGGTATCCACTGCAGTCTAGTTTCTCCCCCCCCCCATATCTCTAGCTTAAAGCAAAGAACCAAAGCTATCTTTCTTCTATTTTATTGATGTAGGAAGATCCCAGGAAACATCACCTTTGTATCTGCAGGCAGCACCCCTTTGGAAAGAGCAGCTCCCCTATCATAGGAAGATACTTGGCTTGGAACCAATGTTCCCTCTAAGCTGTTTTGTGAGCAAAAATTCTACTTTGTGAGCTACTGGCATTAAAGTTGTGAGCAAGCAATTTGGCTACTGCATAAACTAGTTTGCTCTGGAGCCCTCCTTCCTGAGCTGAGACAAAAAGGTGTGAGGCCAGAGGCTGGTGGCACCCACTCCCCCATGGCAGCCATTTTGTAGTGGTGCTCACTACCCTGACTCAAAATTCCAGAAGTTTCCTCAGGTTCAACAGGGTTGGAGAGCAGTGGAACAGAGCATTGGACTTGGATTGGGGAGACCAGCCAGTACTCGGTGGGTGATTTTACGCAAATTGCTCTCTCAGACAAGGATATCTCTTAAGGTTGTTGCACTAATCAGATGTAAAAACCTAAATCTCCCCCAGCTTCATGAAGGAATTGTGGGATATAAATGTGATTGACTGATGTGGGCAACAATGTAAGAAGATTGAACCAATGCATCCCCTGTCATTAAATAAATAAATCTTGAGATGTGGTGCTGGGATCACAAAAGCTCTAGATTAGGTCACCAGCTGGTTCCTATCCCACACAGTCCAAAAATGGCACACATTATGAAAGCAAATGTTCAAAATAAACAAATCTCCACTATTTATTTCACGTTCCTGGGATCCCAGATCACCGCAGACTGTGACAGCGGCCATGAAATTAAAAGACGCCTGCTCCTTGGGAGGAAAGCGATGGCGAACCTAAACAGCATGATAAAAAGTAGAGACATCACCCTGCCAACAAAAGTCCGCATGGTCAAAGCAATGGTATTCCCAGTAGTCATGTATGGCTGCGAGAGTTGGACTATAAGGAAGGCCGAGCGCCGAAGAATAGATTCTTTTGAACTATGGTGCTGGAGAAGACTCTTGAGAGTCCCTTGGACTGCAAGAAGAACAAATCAGTCAATCCTAAAAGAAATCAACCCTGACTGTTCCCTGGAAGGCCAGATAATGAAAACGAAGCTCAAATACTTTGGCCACCAAATGAGAAGGGAGCACTCACTGGAGAAGACCCTGATGCTGGGAAAGATTGAAGGTCAAAGAAGACGGGGACGGCAAAGGATGAGATGGTTAGACAGTGTCATAGATGCAACAAACATGAAATTGAGCCAACTTCAGAGGACGGCGGAAGACAGGAAGGCCTGGAGTGATCTGATCCATGGGGTCGCGAAGAGTCGGACTCGACTGTGCGACTGAACAACAACAAGTTCGCCTTTCTTGCTGAGACTCCAGGCGGATCACACAATTAAAATGATGCAATAAAAACAACATAAAACATACAATACTGCATTTTTAAGTCTCACAGCAAAAGGTGGACTCTGAACGAAGGAAATAAATGCTGAATGAAACTGAATTACAAAATTAAAGAACGGTATACAAACAGGGCAAGGGAGCTGGATTTCAAAATTGCATACCATTTAGCACTCATGGGAGAAATTTATTTATTTATTTAGAACAGGGGTCCCCAGCCTTTTTGAGCCTGCAGGCACCATGGAATTCTGACACAACATGGTGGGTGCAGTCACAAAATGGCTCCCATCGCAGGAGGTGGAGCCAGCCACAAAATGACTGCCACAGCTTACGTAGAGTCAAACAGGGAAGATCCTTGTTTTGTAGTGGCAGCTGCTGCTAAGGCAATATTTTAAAAAGCCAATCAAATGTTCAGTGGCCAATCAGGAGTCTCGCTGGAAAAGGCCCCATGTGAATCTGCCCACTTTCTAGAAGCACTTGAGGGGCACCAGGAAAAGTATTGGCCGGCTTATATTCCCTTAGGGAAACCCACCAGCAAACACCCCCCCACTCCCGATAGGCTATTTACAGTAACCAAGAGACCTATTGGCCTCTTGGCCTGCCCTAGCCCTTTCATTGGGCCTGGCTAGGATCCTACTTGCCCATTGTCTTTTGGTCTGAAGCTAGAGTCTTTGTGCCTGGACAAGTCCAGGCATGCCTGGCTCTGTCCGGGCCTGATACACTACAGGCAGGTTCCATGGTTTTTGCAGCCAAGACATTAGGGACCCCTGATTTAGAACATATTTATGCCACCTTTCCTCCAAAGAGCTTGGGGCAGCATATAGAAGAAGAAGAAGACATTGGATTTATACCCTGCCCTTCACTACCCAAAGGAGTCTCAGAGCAGCTTACAAACTCCTTTCCCTTCCCCTCCCCACAACAGACACCCTGTGAGGTAGGTGGCGCTGCGAGAGCTCTGACCGAAACTGCTCTTTTTCAAGAACAGCTGTGCCAGAACTATGGCTTGCCCAAGGTCATCCAGCAGGTGCAAGTGGAGGAGGGGGGAATCAAACCTGGTTCTCCCAGATTAGAGTCCGCGCA